GAGTTTAGACTGTAGCTCATAGGGAAATATGACAAAAATCCCGGGGTTGGTCCCGCCTGCATTGAAGATAGGGTACGTGTCCTGCCCGGTCCTGGTAACAAAGACCTGCGCAGTCTGCATCAGACCAGCTGGCGTGTAGGTCGTCTCTTGGTAACAGCAACAACGGGAGGAACAGTCTTACTTATGGTTGCACAAATAGTCACGAGATGATGTAAATAATCCCATATGTACGAACGAAAGCTAACCTGCCTGTACTGGCAAGGCTTCTCCACCTAAAAAAATAAGCGTGGGCACCTCGTCAATGTTTTTGCCACCGGATTTTGGCTTCTGCGGCTTGGCGCTTCTGCGCATATCGCCAGCATGAACATAGCGCCTCCGTTAGACTGGCAGTGATTGTGGGTTGTTGACCATCTACTTTTGTGCTCTACTCAATTCCTACGTACCTTGCTTTTCAAGCCTCGCAACACCGAGGACCCGTTGTATCCACAGCCAAAGGTTCTAGTTCAGGAATGGACAACATGGGGCAGAAACCACAGCGCCACTCCTCGTAAACAGCTCGTTGGCTTCTGCGAACGCCAGCAAGGTATCCAGAAATATCCAGGAGTCCGTGTCCTCGAGTTCAAGCGGCGCAAACGGCAGTGCAAATTGCGTAGCTTGTTTTTTCTTCCAACAAAGTGCTGGTGCCAGAAGGGCACCAGCACGGGACACATAACCCAACAACGGCATTGCGCGGAATACATTTGAAAATTGGCAGGTACCACCATGCTTTGTCACAACGTTAGCAATGAAAACAAAATGTGTGGTCCATGAGTCCATGCCAGAAAAAGTTGGCAACAACACCCATTGTTGCTGGCATGTGTGCCCTGAATGTTAATGTATTTGCTGTGGTATCAACCCACATAATGCACCCTCAACCAACCCATGAGCGGCGCGGCCGAGCATTGCCAGGCCACAGATCTGGGAAAAAACCATCCAGTGGTCCACGGTTTGGTGCCCCATACCCGCACCTATAGGCATTCACGGTAAACCTATTGCAGTCAAGCGGCTGTCTTCAACAACAGCCGGAAGCTGTAATGTTTGGTGGCCTTGTGCTGACATTGCACCATATCACAGCACTGACGGCGTGCATCACATGAGCAAGCTGTAAGGTCAAGCAAGCGCAAGTGCACAATGCCCAGCGTAGTGATGGAAACACCATTGAGCCAAGATGCAAATAGAACTGCTTTCCGAACCTTCTCTGCCAAGCGTATGTAATCGCTGCTGCACCTGCAATGTGGGGGTGTCTGTTCCTCAAATTGCGGCATGCAATTCCTCAATGCTGGGGTTTGTACATGTCACAAAGACTGGCCCAAATTGCCAAGCAACTTCGACAAAGCGATGATGTCTGACGACGCCTGCGGGTCAAGAATCATACGCATGGTTTCTTCAAGCAATCTGCAGCAAGTTGGCGGAATGCTCGCAACCTTGCTATCGCATGGACGGCATCATGTTGATGCATGCTGCCCGCCTCATCCGCTTTCCGAACCTTCATGGTCCCATTTGCTATTTCGTCCGCTGATGCATTTGCAACGGCCTCGTCCTAGCAAACAGCATGAGAAGGTCTGCAATGGGGAACGGGTTCAAAAGGTGGTATGTGCGACATGTGAGACACTCTACGGGTGCCGTACCTAAGGTGACAAAGGTGTATTGACATGAATTGGTCACAAACCCAACCCCCTTTGTTTGGCACCGTAGATATACCGGCGCCAAACATGAAGAGGGGTTACTGGCACGAAGGTGCCCCAAAAACCTAATGCCGCCAATCATCTTCGAGACGAATGTGACGGTTTTCCTGCAATCAGCCCGGGGCACACTCGTGAAACAGGGCAAGGATCATGTGGCAGCTTTACCCACATGTTTCATGATGAAACTCGATCAGATGTGGCCCAAATGCATCGTCAAGCCTTCTCTTCTGCAGTTGCCTCGTCGCCAAGCACGAAAAAATATTTGATCGTCCTTTTGCTTTTGCACCTGCAGGCGAATGTCGCGCATGCAAAGTCACCCAGATATGCTTTAATTATAAAGTTTCAACTGACCCTGTGTGATCCCCGCACTGCAATCAAATGGCCGAGGGCAGAGACTTGTTTCTTTGTCGATCTCTTGGGCCCATGTCTGTCTGACCTGACGGCGTCTTGCAAGCAAAGCACGTGCGGATTCATGCACGTGCACGGGAGGCATATTACTGTGGGCAACCGTGCTGAGAATCTCACATTGTCCATACGCCTGCGGTCCTTCAGTCCGCTGGCGGGTATGATGATCAACAAATCGTAGTGCCTTGGTTGATGGCGAATATTTCAAGTATTAAATGCTGTTTTTGATGTGAGGCTTGCATTCATCAATTTGTCCACCCCGAACAACTGCGAATATTGGGGTATTCCTCTTGCTGCAGTGCAGGCGTCTATCAAACTCTAAGTTTGGCCCTCTAACACCTTCGGGGTGTGAAAATCACACAACAATCAAGTCGGTTCCGGGGGACTGCAAATTCTACAGATGCAGGCAATGCATTCAACACTGTGGACGGCCAGCCTGGCATCTATCTACCGCAACCCAAAAAAAGTTGGCTCAGCGGTGCGCGGCGGATAAAAGCAATTTATTTTGTTGATTTGCGTTCGCATGCGTTTCTTGTGTAAATTTCGGGCGGGATTTTTTTTTGATTTGTGTGTGTGTGTGTGTGTGTTTTTTTTTGGTGGCTGGGGGCCTGGCATCGAAGGATGCCTCACACGAGAGCGCGATTCTGAAACAAAAATGGTGAAGACTGATGAAAATGATGAAAAATTGTCAGAAATCATTTGAATATTCGAAAAATGTACATATATATATACACACGATGAACATGATATGATAAGGCATGATGAAAAATTATGAAAAATGATGAAACATGAGCCATGGGTTTTATTCCTAAATAACGTCATCACAGAAACGTCCCCTTCCGCGAAGCCCTTCCTCGATCCTTCCACGAGTAGCGCTTGTATCGTTTTTTGCTTCCGCCTTCCGCGGCTGCTTCCGCGAAGGTTGTGCGGCTGAATTTCGGGATTTGCTTCCGCGAAAAGGCTTCGAAGGCTATGGCTTCCGCCTTCCGCGGCTGCTTCCGCGAAGGTTGTGCGGCTGAATTTCGGGATTTGCTTCCGCGAAAAGGCTTCGAAGGCTTCGAAGGCTATGCAAGGATTTCCGTGCATGCTCTTTTTGGCTGACTTCGTTTGCTTGGTTATACAAGCAAATTAGAAAGTTATGCACGGATTCAGGTTATAAGGGGAACATATGGGATTCCAGAAGGTTCCAGATCTCAGACACGCCGTAAGTTCTGCATGTTTTGGTTTGGAGGTACATTTCTGGGAAAACCAGAGTTGCTGTTTTTCGCGATCACCCGCGCGGGCTTTTGCGCACTGCAGGACAAGGCCAGGAAGAGGAACTGGAGCTGGAGCTGGTGAAGGAGGAAGAATCAGAAGATTCATCCAGGAACAAAGGTATGGGAATGGATCCCGTGTTGCATGTCAGGTTTCCGCGGACCTTCCGCGAGCGTCGTGTGGCCGGAGACGCTTTTCGGACAACTTGCATGAATGGCCCCAAGAAGACATGCTCCTGAAAGCATTTTAGTCTCTTCGCTCAGGGCTTCAAGGTTGTGGATAGGCCACGAGACTTAGCTAGGACTTATGGTTGGCATGACACATACCTGGCTCGACTGGCATGTTGATAGCCGGACTTTCTGAAAACATGCAAGCCCTTCCGCTAAGAAATGTTTCCGCGGAACTTCCGCGTCTTTCTGCGCGCACAAGAAAACCTCGTTTTCGGACCAAGATTTGAGGAGCTTCGGTGTTGCGGGATTATACTTGATCCACCGTACAGAAAAAACACCTGCTAAAATAATGAAAAATAGAGAAAACACGGAAGGGACAGAAAATGATACAAGCATAATACAGATGATGGAGAAATTGTAGAACATAATAAAGAATAACGAAAAACAATAAAAAAATAATGAAACATGATGAACATGCAGAAATAAATGTGATGAAAATGATAGAAGATGGTAAAACATAATGACAAATAATAGAAACATGATGAAAAATCGGGAGAACAAATGAAAATACTAGAAAATGATATAAGCATATGATGAAAATGATAGAACCATCATAAACATGGACAAAAACAACATTATGGACAACAATGAAAGATGAT